GTGGCGTCTGCAGTGTTTGGTGGGTTTGGCTGTCATTAGGCATCGGGGAGGCTGCTAAGCCCTGCTCAGAGATATTTTAATCTTTGCAGCCCCCCGCCCCATGGAGCCTGCCCTAGTCCCTGCTGCCCGCGGGGCTTCGTTGTACCTGCTGGCGTTTCGTATGTCCAATTTAGACTCCTGACATTTCACCTTCCCATTGAAAGGGTTAATGGAGTGCATGCTTAATTGCCAGCACACCCGAGCGAGCGTGGAGTGAGCCTTGCCCCATGCCTGTTACCTCCTCCGGCTGGTACGGTACCTGGGGTTGGCGTGGCTTCAGAGGGCAGCGCCAAGGATAGAGAGGGGAATACGAAGAGAGCATAGAAAAGAAGGGAAGAGAAAACAGAGGAATATATAAAACAACCAGAACACACCAATGAGAGACTTGGGACCACTTGCACACAGTCACCAGAGAGTGGAGAGAGAGGGAATAAATGCATTCGCTACAGCCCAGCACCCTGCTCTGCATCGGAGCCGCTTGCAGAGGGCAGAGGGAGCAGGGACGGCCCCTTGGAGATGGAGATAACCGGTTAAACACACCCCAGCTCGGTTAAACACGCACCAGCTCCGCCGCAGCGATGCCAGTGGTGTCAATTAAGCAAAGCGCTTAAGCAGGTGCTTATATCTGATCCCAGCAAGGACTGGTTTTGGCTCTCGGAAGTTCACCTTAGGTTTTTTTTTTCTAGTGTAATTCTAGCGCTCGTCCTGCCTCGCGTGGGTTGGAGCCCGTGGTGCAGCACATCAGAGAGATGTATTTTATTTAAAATTCTCAGGTGAATGAGTCTGGCAAGCAGAAAACAACCTCTGGGTGCATTAAGGGGTTTAATTTTCTTAATCTGCTTTTTTTTTTTTTTAAAATTCCAAATTCATCTTTCGCGTAGCGTAAAGCTACGCGAAAGATGAATTTGGAATTTTAAAAAAAAAGCAGGTCCCTCCCTACCAAAGCCTTTAGAGCTGCTAATGGTACTTACGTGCCTGGTGTTAGCAGAACCCGCCTATGTCGTGTTGTACCTCGGGGTCTCATGTTTTGAGGTCCAACTTTGCCATATTTCTGTAACTTCAGACTGGGATTTGACTCTCTAATTATTCTTCCTGCTTAACGGCCGATGCTTTGTCCTTTTGCTAAGTGGCAGCAGCTCGTCTCTTCGGCCGGGGCTGGGAGCACTGGGTGCCACTGCCACCCCTGACCGCGCGGCGAGGGAACCTTACCTTGCCACGCTGGCGTACGCTGTACCCGCTATTTCCCGATCCCAATCAGTTAAGCAATACCCAACAGCAGTTGGTTATGGCTACTCTCTACCTGTCCTCTCCTAACAGTCGCTGCTAGCAGCGTATAGAAATAAACCCAGCAAAGCAAATGTATATGAAACAAGTAGAACTATTGACTGTCAGCACCAACAACTTCAATCCGATCCCTGTGCTCTAACCCTTTGGTCAGCAAAACTCCTTTTTAAAGCAATGAAATGCCCTCTCTTGTGTTTGCTCTAACCTTTTGGTCAGCAAAACTCCTTTTTAAAGCAATGAAATGCCCTCTCTTGTGTTTGCCAGGGTGTAAGTTAGCTGATTTTTTTTTCCCCATAGCATAAGCAGCTCCGTCTCCCGTCCTCTCACATCAATTAGGGATGCTGGAGCCCACCTAAGAGGTGTCAGGAAGCATTTCATTTCCACTGGGTCATCAGTAGGAATTACTTTTCCTACTCAGAGCCATTAGCTGGGGAGGGGGAGATGGAGGAAAGGAGACAAAACCCCCATTAAATCAGAGCACTAACCAAATCATAGGTCTTTTAGCAAATGCTAAAGAAAGGAAAGAGCCAGCTTTTGTCTCCCTGAGTTCCCTCAGGGCCCCTGAACTTTCACTTGGGTTGATGAATATCCCACAATGGACATTTTATCTTATTATGAATCTGGGAGTTGGAGCTTTGCTTTGCAGGGTCAGGTCAGCTGCTGGTTATGGGATGGCAGGGAAGTGGCACCATAGCCCCAGCCTAGGGTTCACTGCCTGGAGGATGCAGCTGCTGCACCCCCCTGGGAGCCACGTAAAAATCACCCACCTCTGCCCCTTATTTAGCTCGTACAGGGGCTGCAGAGGGGCAGATTCAGCACTTCACTTTTTGCAAGATGAGCGCGAGGCACTTTCCTGCTCCAGAGAATGGAATGCCAAGGGCTTGGGGGTCAGCAAAGTGGTGACCAAGAGCACAGGACAGTGTCCCATCCCCATCCGCCCCCTTTTTTTTCAGTAGCATCATACGGTCCTGGTTGGTCACCTCTCCATCTCTGCAGTAGATAGTAGCTGTGCACCAGTAACTACTGGTTACTACTACTACCAGTAGTACTGGTTGCTCTGTGAACCATCTGATTCTCTGACCTGCAGTTTTTGGCTGATACATGTACCATCACCACCACCATCCCTCCCCAGCCCCTCAGCAAAGCCAGAAGCTGTTGCTGCTGCACATACCTTCGTTCAGCAAGGCTGGCGACTCCTCCACTATGGTTTCTCCTTCGCCCACCTGGGTCCGTGCGCGCAGAAAGAATCGATAGCGGGAGATGGGGTCTGTCCTCTGCAGGGTGAACCTTGTCTGATTGGGAGAGAAGGTCTCTACCAGGGTTCGGCCTGTTTTGGATCCGTTAACTGGGGAGGAAAGGCAGGTCGTGGTGGCTTCAGCCTTGTTTCAGAAATAAGCTGTGCTGTCTACCTCGCCACCTCGCCCCCAGGACCGGACCTGCAACGGGTGTGGGGCCATGTGCGCTCAGAGCTATAGGTGCTGTTCAATACGCTTCTCTAGGGCAGCGGGTGACTTGCTGGCAGGGGGAGCTGCTAGCGGGGACATTCAGGGATGCATAGGTGGTCTAGGAAGGGTGTAGCACAAGTGCCAGGGTCTCCAAGAAGGCTGTACAGCCATGGGCATTGTGCTGGGCTCTGCAGAGGGTGCCACGCTCCGGGCAGCACCTCTTATACAGCCGGGAGCTTGTGTTTGTTTGAGCACGTAAACTACTCAGACTGCACTTAAAGGTCTTTCTAAATCAGAGATTAAACTTATTTTCCTTCAGTGGTCAAGCCTGGAGCATCCATGACCCTCCCTGGGTAACTGCAGCTGCCTGGCACTGCCCCAGGACTCCTCTCCACCACCAGCGTGCTCTGATGAAAGCCTCCGGTCCTTACAGGGAGCTTTCTGTGCGAGGTGAGGAGGTAATTAGCAGCAAGTAAAATATTTAATGACTTAATTATTATCGCCAAGAAGATAACATGTGGAACGTACAGGCTTGATATCTAAGGCTGTATCCTGTGAGGACTCCATTAGGATGCTCTGGGTGATCCCACTCCAGATTGATGCTTTCCAGATTTGGCTGTCGGATTCTTAAATACCTGGGGGAGCTGGGCACTTGGGAGGAGGATGGGACCAGGAAGGAGAGGGAAAGAAGAAAAAAAACATACAAGATAACATACCTTACAATACTGTATACATTGCAGGCTGGCTGCTACACTCAAAACACTCATATATACATACATTACAGGTCAGAAACGGATGGAACAAGAACCTGTGCCAGAAACCATGCGCCAGCCCCAGGGTTTTCAGCAGCGTGTACGCAGGGAGCAGCAACCAGGAGCTCTGCATGCAAGCCCAGCCCCGGCAGCACCCCGCGCCCGTGCTGTGCTGGCTGGGTACCACTGCCCTGGCACATAGCTGAGTGAGGCACCCGCAGAGGATGCTACAGCCCGGAAGCGGAGCCC